TTTATCTCCAGGTCCAATCTTGGCATTAAAATTGCTATAATGATGAGAACTTCCTGTCGAGGAATTTTCTGTATGATACTGTTGATGTTCTGATATAACTCAATTGCTTCTTCCTCTTCTTTGTCTGCAGTGGGAGCATAGACTTGGATGATGTTTATAGAAATACGGTTGGCTTCTACTTGTAGTAACATCATTGTCTCTGATATTGGTGTAAAGTTAGTAACGCATTTGGCAACCTTGGGTGATACAATTATTTCGACTTCATATCCATATTCATGAGATCCATCACTTTTTCCCGAGTACTATACCCTGTGATCTTCTATTTGTATTTCTCCAGAATCTGGCCATCTTATTTCTGCTATTCCCATGATTTCAATATGCATTCTCTTTGCATATTGAAATCATCTCCTGTATTGCATTGTGGATTTTGCTTGCTTTGTATAAAGTTTTGACATTCCATGTGCAGATCTTGATATTCTTTCACTTCAATTTATTATCTTTTGGTAAACTTAAAACTGTCCTCCCCGGAGACCCAATCGGAGGACTTACTCCGGAATTTATTTTAGTATTGAGCATTGCCATGATTGATTGACTAGGGCATATCGCATTGGATCTTTAAAGAAGTGTTTGTCCTACTTGTGCTTCTCCATCCTTATGCCGTTGATCAAATATTTGGTTCATCCACCTTCAAGGCCGATTTTACAACCTTTAAATCTCATTCTTACAAACCATCCCAGTTTTTTCAATCTCCTTCAATCAAATCTCGTCATACGTATCCCCATCTCTTCATTCAGATAACAAACAACAATTTTTACCTTCAATTATAAATTTCCTAAAAACTATTAACATGCTAATCGGTTTCTACAAATTCTCAAGAACTAACGGAGAAATATACCTTCTAAATATTTTATTGTATTGTCTTATAATCAAAATAATTTATGCATATCTTTTAAATTTTGTTTATTATAGGTAATCCAGGATAATGGACTCTCATTTATTCGAAATATCTTTTATAGCTTACTAGTCGAATTATTTGAATTATTATATTTTGTACTTTAAAATATATTAAGCAAACCAATATTATTTTTAATTTTACATTGAAACCGCGTTGAGAATTTGATAGTAGACGTTTCGGCAACGTACCAGCATCTGGTTCTGTAGAAATAGAAGAACCGTCAAACGAAAGTGAGGTCTCAATCTGCCTACTAATCAATGTCGAGTCACTCGACATCGAGACAAACGGAAAACACAATAATTCTGTCAGAAAATATTGAAGGTTTCCAAAGTCTGCTTGATTGTATTCCCAAAGTAGAAGAGGAAATATGCAAACACAAACACAACCAAATTTTTAGTCTTTAATTTAAAACCGATACTTTGAACCTCTATAACTAAAAAACAATTGATTTCTAAGCCTTGGTACAAGGAGAACCTTTGATCAGCATGACAAAAACTACTACCTCTATGTAAAATTTAACGGAAACCACTTTTACATAAGAAAAAACGACGGGGTCCTTCCTCGTTAGAATGAAATAGGATTTGGAGAAATTTTTGCGCTACATTACTGTTAAATCTCTCTCCAAAATAATAGTAGATAATAATAGATTTTTTAATTTAAGTAATTGCTTTAACACTATAAATGTAAATATTAATTAAAATAATAATTGTTTTAATGGGTAACTTGTTTTATTCAGATTTAATTGTTTTTGATTCATAATTTCTCGTCTTAGAGAAAGGTACAATCCAACTCAAATTTTTACATTTTATTACATTTATTTGTTATTTATTATATTATTTTGTTACTATCACAACGAAATTGTCTCCCACTTCTACCTTGGAGAGACTTTAAAAATATAGACTTTTTTTTAATTATAACAACCCACTTATTTTTAAATTTAAACCCCATGAAAGATTCGTCATTCAATCCCACCTGTACAACTCAAAAGTACCAAGTGTGATTTAAACGTTTTCACTTTCTCTAACGTAAAAAAACAGGTAAAAGGATATCATAATGGCCAACTAGTTGGATTTTAAAATGGGTGCAATTTTGACAGAGATGCTCTGCACACCTGTTCAAAGAAAAAAAAGGATACGGTGGAACACCTGTGAATTGGTACAGTTAAAAAAATAGCTCCATATGCGATGGGCAGTAGTATTATAGTGAATATATTGTTCCCAGGTAGTAACTTAAAACTATAAACGTGCAAACACAATGGGGTTTGCATATTACGGTCAGTTTTTTTATTTAAAACTTATGTATATAGGGGAACTGAAAATTCTGTAATTTCGTATATTTTTTGGCTTTGGTTTTAGCTAACCAATTGCTAGTTATAGCAGGTTAATAAAAATATACCAGTAAGACAAGACTTTTTTACATATTGTTTACAAAACGGTGTAGTGTGCCCGATGTGGATTTTTGTACGATAAGCACAATTAATACCTTTATATCAGAAAGTTATTTAAAATTTTATTGTATAAAAACAGTTAATACAAATAATTTGTCGGCCCTACAGACCAGGCATTGAGTGCATCCAAAATAATATTGTCAGTTAATACCGTCAGTTGACGTGCAGCTTAGGTGAACATGAGCAGTACCGGAAATACAAATAAATCAACTGTTCCTTCCACAGAAGTGACACAACAAGATTCAACAATCTGTAACATCCAAGATACATCAAACAACAACACTTCTCTAATGTCATACGCAACAGCATCAAAAATATCACCGAAACCAACCTAACCAAAAAAGCAATCATACTCCATGCAGAAGATAACTTTAAACTGTTTAAGTACGTGAAAGCAATTGGTGATATTATCCAACCCAGGTACATCTGCTTCGCCTCCAGAATTTGCAACAATAGGGTATGTATATATTTAACTAATAAAACATAGTAAATAAACTTCTATCTCTTCTTCTATCTCGTCGGTCAGATAACTCAGCGGGCTGTGCGGCTGCCTCTCATTCGCTTCACTGTCGAATGGTTTAGTGGATGTGGGTCGAGCCCCAGCTCGGTGTACAGAAAACAAAAAGTCTAACGCAGCAGTTTAAAATTCTAGATGAATCTGCGGCTTAGACTAGGATATAGATAAGGGCAAGGATAGACAAGGACAAGAGATAAGGGCTTGCGGCTCGGTGATACTCCTCCATAGATCCCTACCGGACGGGCGTAACGCCTAAAAAACCGGATATATATATAAATAAACTTCTAACTAATAAAATCTCATTCTACTATACAAATCGGCTCCCTAATTTTAAACATATGTAAACTCGTTTCGTCTCCTACATAAAAAATCTTAATATCCTGTATCCTTGTTTATCCGTCACGAAATTATAAAAACTGCAGTTAAAAGCCTAGGTCTAAAAATAGCTTATCCAGTATAATTTTTTAAAGTAGGCGTTTCGGCGGAGAAATTCTCACATATTCTTAGCTTTAGAAGATAAGTTTGTGTGTTTTCCACCTCCGAAACTTTTTTGCTTCAAACCTCTTTTGTGATTTCTTTCGAAGACAATGAAAACCGTACGTTTCTTTCTACGGATAAAATGGAATGTTTTGTCTGTAAAAAATTAGTAGATACACGTCCATTACAATGGAACAAATCCACCAGAAAGTACTTCTAAATCCAGGCAATTTCTTCCTCTCCTTTAAGAGCTGAATCCACGTCTTTTGAAAAAATTACAAGGAAACTACACCAACAAATATATCAATTACTATTTAGCTGGTAATAAGCCACAATTAAAGATAAAAATACGTCTATTGATGTTTCAATTTCCACTTCGGAAATCGTTCTCAAAATACAAACAGTAAATTTTGTTTTTTGTTACATAGTGAAAAATTCTTCTAATAATTTAATTTTAACTGACTCATTTATATTGACAATTCAGATATACATTATGCATTTTAAAGTAGACGACTTTAAAATGATATTGATAATATTGTTAAGTTGCGCTCTTGGGACGACTTTACTTATAAGATAGTTCATTCGATTACATGAAATCAACCTTAACTTGAGAATATCCATCAGAAAAAAATCATAGCATGTAATTCGTCTTTAAAAAGACAAACACATGACATGATGACAGTAAAATTCTCCTGTTAGTGATTCCATAGTAAATTATGAGGGAAAAACCAGGAAAAAAACCTCATAATACTATCCCGACATGGTAAGTATTTGTTCGTGCATTTAGTTTACCTTTAATAAACACCAAAATTCTGATTTTATATGTTTCGTTATTTAAAAAACATAAATGATGTATCCTCTATATGTTACTGACTTACTAATACTGGTATTTTCTTATTAATAATTTCCTCTTTCAATATTGGTAACCAGATCCTACTACATTCTGCCGAGGAATTTGCGACACAATTGACCTCATTTAGCATATTTAGAGCCGCTTCTTTGATTTTTTTTACCATCCGTTTCTTTTAGGACTACATTTGAATTATTCCATTGAATCCGATGTTCATTATCCCATGCGTGTTTACATATGTGTGCTAAAGTAGCAGGTAATCGTTGAGGTGAGGGGACAGATTTCTGTTGTTCCCTAGGACTAAATTGCTGTTGTGATATCCCTGTTCTTTGTGAATATTGCTCTTGAATGCTACTTGCTGTTGATGCACTAGGACATGGTTTGCTAGCAGTAGACTTTGTTGGAATCTGTGTTTTTGTTGAAGGTTTTTTGAGTCTACTTTGCATGGGAATTCTTGATCCACCAGCTTTAGGAATTTTGGAAGTGGGTATTGCTGTTTTTTGTATTTATGTCAATTCATGTTGAGAGGTGGTTGATCTGTGCATACAGTAGGTGAATCAGGAGGACTTGTGGGAACAAGATCACTAAATGTTTCCTCAGCTATAGCTTGTACTGCACTTATATCAGGAAAAGGTGGAGTAGCTGGAAATATATCTGGATCTGGCTCATCTTGCTCAATATCTGACACTACATTTGCAACTCTCTTTAACATTTCAGCGGTCTTCCTATCATTTCTAAACAAGTAGTCAATGTATTATTTTTCTCTTTCTACGCGTGATAAAGGACGCATTGTATATTGAGGTGTGCTATAAGTTGACTCTGGTACCTGTCTTATTGGTGGTTTCCTATCATAGCAAGTCTTTCCTAGACTTGTGTCTGCGGGTAAACCAGAAATATCGACATCTTGATCAATAATTTTCTCGGCACGTGGAGTCTCTGGAATTTTTCTAGGTTGTAATGTCTCCATTAAGGAAGGAAATTCCTTAGAGATGAAAATACCTTCTGAGCAGCAGGCGAACCTCTTGCGATTGGATGCATCGGTTGAGGTTGTGGTACCTGTGGTTCTGGTAATGATTTATCTTTCTGTTGGTCTCGTGAAATATCCTCTTTAATTGAAGTATCTGTTTTGATATCACTATAATCCGGTTATAATGGAATAATTCAAATGTAGTCCTAAAAGAAACGGATGGTAAAAAAATAAAAATCAAAGAAGCGGCTCTAATTATACTAAATGAGGCCAATTGTGTCGGAAATTCCTCGGCAGAATGTAGTAGGATCTCGTTACCAATATTGAAAGAGGAAATTATTAATAAGAAAATACCAGTATTAGTAAGTCAGTAACATATAGAGGATACATCATTTCTGTTTTTTAAATAACGAAACATATAAAATCAGAATTTTGGTGTTTATTGAAGGGAAACTAAATGCACGAACAAATACTTACCATGTCGGGATAGTATTATGACACGAACAAATACTTACGACTTACGTCCTCAAGTAATAATCCTCATTAAAACAACTAAGTCAGTATGCAACAGATACACAAACACACAAGAAACCCTCAGAACTCAGAACTTTTTTCTAATTCTAATTCTAAACTAATTCATGCCGGGTTTTGTAAACCACAAACCAGAAAAAAGTAAGCGTTCAAAATATGACTTAATCCTACCTGAAATGGCAAAAAAAAATCATACACGAATTGTATTACAAAACTCCACAAATATTCTATAATATAGAATAGAAGAGCAAATATAATTGCTCTTCTTAAAAACTGTTACAGCAGTAGTGCTTCAAAAGCAGAAGCATTAAAATTCACACCAGACATCAAATTACGTATTTCTACATTATACCAAATATGTCTCAATCTTAACGACAAATCAACCAAAATAGACTAACTCGTCTTAAAAAAAATTTAAAAACAAAACCGATTTTTTTATGGATTATTCTAGAAAATTACCCAATCTTTGATTCTCACGCGAAACAACTAATGATGAGTACGTCTCTGACATCTCAAAACTCAGAGACATCTCACGAGTTCCCTTATTATTAAGTCCACAATTATTCATGGGTGGATGAATTATATTCTCACATTGCACGAATACAATAACTTATTTCCGAAACCAATCCTGACTTAATTTGTCCACAAGAAGAAAACTTTAAAGGAACACACAATCCTCATCTACAAAACTTAGTTATCACCATATCAGAACTACACACCGACGTGCTAGCGGAGGAACATCAATTTTCTTATCTACAGAAATCTTTTACCGTAAACTCCACCTAACCACTGCATTAGAAGCTGTTGCTATAACAGCATGGTGGCCAGAACATATCACAATATGTAAGCTTATACATTCCTCCTAATTATACATTGACAAGCACTAAATTAGAAAACTTAAGGTCTCAAATTTCTGGTCAATTTATTATTATTGGAGATTTTAATGGCCACAGCACTAAGTGGGGTTCTAAAAATACATATGGTAGAGGTAAAATAATCGAAGATGTCATTAATAATACTGATATTAATTTATTAAACATAAGAAATAGTACATACTTCCATATTTGGTCATTAAGGAAGCCTATCCTTATTAGACTTATGGGATCCCAAAATACACCTATTTATAAAAGGATGCACAGATATACGTAAATATAAAAATATCATAGACGAAGACATAAAACAACGCAACCATTGGATAGTTTCTTCCACAGATTCAAAATTAACTCAACTAAAAAACACGTTCCCTGGTGAAATGACTGATGTAAAACATCAATTCAAGAAAGAACAGAGCTTTAAACAGATTACGAAAAATTCGCGTTATAGCTGGCTTAATATATTTCAAAAGGCTTAGAGCAAAACAAAATTCATGGAATCAATTTACTAGCTCTATTACCAAAGATATTCCCCCCCCCACAAGTATCGTCAAAAATAAAGGGAATAAAAGGAAATCGCATATCATACAAAATTTCACCTCTCTTTATTCGGGACAATGTCATTACAAATCACCAACAAATCAGTGATATGCTTTCTCAACAAATCAAATAATCCTACCAATCCTTAGAACGAAATTGGTGATACTCAAAAAACTTGCAATAATAATAGGCCCATTATAATACCTTTTAGTATCCAAAAGCTAAACGATGCCATTGTGTCGATAAAAGCGCATCTGCAGGTCCAGACGATTTTTCCTGTATATTTTTAAAACATTTTGACCAAAATACATACGAAAAAATGCTCCAACAATGCATTAACATTCATTTTTTTCAAAAATTCCCATCACTATAAGTCAGTGATTTTTACCTAATTGGTTAAATAGGTCTAAGAGGACCTCTCATAAAGAAAATATCGTCCGCGCTCCACCCATCAAAATCCTACTGCCAGAAATGTTCACGCCAATACCCATGCTAACCCTCACCCCAACAACCACCCAAACCATGTCACCATCAACGGTATAAATAAACCGTCCTCTGTTCCCAGTACCAGTAATTCATTGCTTAGTGATCAGTGTTGTAGTGTCTAATTACTCGGGAGACTGATACCTCGGAAGCTCAGAAGAATGCATCGAAGAGGATGTCGAAAGCACGGCGCGGCGCAACGATAATCGACGCGATTCAATCCGGAAGACTGTTGAGTTTAATATTATTCCTGTAATAGTGTAGCGACAAGATAATTACGAATAATTAAACTTTTGTATCCAGAAATTAATTATAACCAAAGAATAGATGGAGTGAGAAGGAGAGGCAGACCCAGAGCACGATTTAAGAATCATGTGGAGAAAGACTTGAGAATTTTGGGAGTACGAAACTGGAAAGCTAAAACGAAGAATAAATAGGAGAGAATGGAGACTTATCCTTGAGCATGTCAAGACCCACCATGGGTTGTGTAGCCAATGATGATGATTCAAAAATTAAATAAAACGATCTCATGTTAAAATTTACATTTTCGCAAATGGTTATATGCATAAGAAGAGAAAAGAAATAAAAATTAAAATGTGTTTTTCAATATGTTTATTTACTACAGATATTAGATATGCTGAACACTTTAATTATACATTTTGAGTACGTTGCATTTTTTTATTTATTGGAAAGGAGATTTTTTAAAAACAAAGAACATGTGTTCTGTGTTTTGTTTAGTTTTAGTAATCATTGAGATACAATTTGCATCGGTCCGCGATACATACAATCCCTTCGAGAAATAATTACGCTTTACGATAATAAATATTATTAACAGTTTTTTCTACGTTTTATTTAATTTTATTATTTTTATTTTGTTTCCGTGGAAGTTTATCACACACGCATCCACACAACCACGGAACATTGGTGATCCCGTGAACGTTTAAAAAGAATAGTGTTGATAATATACAGTTGCCGGTTAAAACAGTGAAAATGCAAAATAGTGCTAATAAAGTGCTGCAGGAGTGGATCGCGTATCAGTGAAAATCCCACCGTTCTGGGCAGCGATTCCGAAATATGGTTCCTGCAAGTAGAAAACCAATTTGCACTAGCAAACATTACAAGTGACGCACCAAAATTCAATTATATAGTTATAATCTAGAAACGGCATACATATCCGAAGTGAGAGACATCCTTTTATCACCACCAGCTACAGACAGGTATGTAAAGTTAAGATCAGAATTGATTAAGAGACTCAGTACATCACAACAACAAAAAATTAAAAGACTACTCGAGCATGAAGAATTGGGCAATCGGGCAATGGGCAATTTACAGTCTTTAGCAAGCACAACGGTACCAGATAAAAGATTTCTGTGGTTAGGTAGAAGGCCATCCTTTACACAGCCTATTTTAGCTACCGAATCACACGCTGATTTAGACACAGTTGCCGAGCTAGCAGATACAATTTTCGAAGCCGTACCTCCTAGAACACAAATCTCGCAAACGGTCACTGCTCTTGAAAGAACCATCGGAAAATTAACAGCCGATTTAGCTGAACTGAAAATTCAGCTAGCTAATATCGCAACTGCTAAACCACAAACTAATACATACTGTCGTAACCGCAGCACCTCAAGAGGAAGACCATACCATAGAAACAGAAGCCACAGCAGGGAACATAATAGTGATATATGTTGGTATCACTACCGTTTTGGTAATAGTGCTCAAAAGTGCACACTACCATGCAAGCACCAGGAAAACAACACGGGCAATCGGTAAGTGCAGCAACCGATCCAAGCCCAAAGTCTCGCCGCCTTTTGGTAACAGACTTTGAAACTAAAAAACAATTTTTAATCGACACTGGGGAAGATTTGTACGTGTTTCCCAGAAAATATGTACGGGGCGCACGCGAAAAGACTACATATGAACTATACGCGTCCAATAACACTGTGATAGCAACATACGATTATGTTAACTTTTACAGGAACTGATTTTTTATCACATTTCGCTCTCCTAGTAGACATTGCTAACCAGTGCTTAATAGACAGTACTAAAACTCTTCGAACGAAGGGACTCGTTAAAGATTGTTTCGATAGCAGCGTAAAGACAATGGCAGAAGTGTCGCGTTACCATATGCTGTTAGCTCAGTTTCCGGAAATCACGTGACCAGCCGGTATTCTGAAAGACATACAACATCAAACCAAGCACCACATCGATATAACACCAAGTCTACCCGTTTTCTCTAAGTCTCGACGATTAGCACCTGACAAATTGTAATGGGCAAAAAAATTAGTGTGCACCTGTGCAGATTATCGACGTCTAAACCAAATGACTATTCCAGATCGATATCCAATTACACACATCGAATACTTTGGTCAGTCGCTAGCTGGTAAGATCATTTTCTCTATACAGCTGTACAAAATTTCACTCATCCTAAAACAGTAAAAGACCTGCGTAGATTTCTAGGTATGTTCAACTTCTACCGAAGGGTCATACACAATGCAGCTGAGCTTCAAGCACCACTACATGATGCCCTAAAAGGAAATGTCAAAGGAAAAGCACCAATTGAATGGACACCACAGCGGATCTAAGCCTTTGAGGACTGCAAAAGTAGTTTAGCTAATGCTGCTTTACTGTGCCACCCTGTAAACGATGTTGATATCTCCATCACTTGTGATGTTTCCGATTTTTGTGCTAGAGCTGTATTACAACAAAAAACGGATACAGGTATGAAACCTTTGGCTTTCTTTTCCAAAACATTCTCACCTAGTGAAAAGAAATATAGTGCACATGATAGAGAATTATTGGCTATATATTTAGCTAAAAAACATTTTAGACATAAGACCGAAAGCAAAGACCACCATATACAGTGATCACAAACCAATCACCTTCGCCTTTTTACAGAAGCTGGACAAATGCAGTTCTAGATAATTTCGATATTTAGATTTCATAAGACAGTTTTGCACCAACATTCAGCACATCTCTGGATTAACAAATATTGTAGCAGATGCACTATCTCGAGTAGATAGGATCAAGATAGATATCGACATCATGGACTTAGCTCTCGCACAAGAAACAGATCCAGAACTACAAACGTACTTAAGAGAGAAAACATCGTTGCAATTAAAGAAAATACGGTTTCTGGAACAAAACGTTAGTTTGTACTATGACGTAGCAACATCTACAGTCAGACCATTTATACCGAAACCACCCCAAATGGCAATTTTTAGCACCATACATAATCTAGCAGATCCTGGAATCAACAATTATGTAAAGATGATCACACAGCGATATGTTTGGCCTTCAATCAAATCAGATGTGAGAAAATGGACTCGAGCGTGTCTACAGTGCCAGAAATCAAAAATATCGCGCCACATTGTTTCACTGACTGGAAGTTTCCTACCACCTTCCAGCCAATTCGAACATGTTCACATAGACATTAAAGTGATGCCGATTTCTGAAGGAAACAGATACTATTTAACATGTGTCGCTATTTCACGCGATACCCGGAAGCTTTCCCAATGCCCAATCAAGAAGCATATACAGTAGCCAGAACATTTTTTCTGGTTGTATAGCTCGTTTTGGCACTCCCAAGTGTATCACAATGGATCAAGGTCGACAATTCGAATCACATCTCTTTAAATCAATCTGCAAAGGTGGACAATTCGAATCACATCTCTTTAAATCAATCTGCAAATTAACTGAAACTCAACCACAAGTGGAACAACCACTTATCACCCTCAAGCAAATGGAATGGTAGAAAGATTTCATCGACAATTACAAGCAGCAATTCGTTGCCATGAAAATACTCGATGGACCGAAAGTCTACCTTCAGTGTTACTGGGCATATGAGCAGCGTGGAGAAGTTACTTCAGCCGCCGAACTCGTTTATGGAGAACCATTGTGTTTGCCCAGTGAATTATTATTTTCGTCACAAAGAAACACCGACGACAGTGCTCACATTTATTTAAAGACACTTCGAAACCATTTCGAACATCTCCGTCCTAAGCAACCGTCGCAGCATGGGTCCAAAAGCACTTTTATTTTCAAAGAGATGAAAACCACCACTCACATGTTTGTCCGCCGTGACATAATCAAAAACGGTTTAGATAACCCATATAATGGACCTTTTTCAGTAGTTAAACGAGGAGACAAAACATTTATCGTCCGTGTAAACGGAAAAGAAATAACAATTTCAATCGATAGATTAAAACCTGCGTATGAGGTCAACGTAAATTAGGAATCAGAGAAAATTACAGTGTCCAGAGAAACAAACACCTATAACAATCTTGAGAACAGCAACCCAATAGACAAACGATATTTACGGGAAGTTATCAAGCAAGTCTTGAAGCAAGTTTTGAGGGATGCTGAAGATCTCTTGAACAGTGCACGTGACCAACAACGAGGTGCTAAGAAGAATGGGTACTGAAGGAGATCTCCTAAATGTTGTAAAAAACAGGAAAACGAGTTATCTAGGACATATTTACAGAGGAGAAAAATACAACTTCCTACGACTTATAATGAAAGGGAAAGTGGAAGGAAGAAGAGGTCCAGGAAGAAGAAAATGCTCCTGGTTAAAGAATGTAAGAGACTGGACAGGTATGGACACACATTCGATACTAAGAACAGCTCAATGTAGTTATGGCCAACCTTCAGTAATGGAGAAGGCACCTTAAGAAGAAGAAGATCAAGCGAGTGTCAGTTAAATCATTTTTTTTTCAGTTAAGATATTTTTTCAGTGTAACATTTTTTTCTCGTGTAAATATTGTCTTTATCTAATATACCTATTCAATTTCCATTGTAACTATGTATGTATTATCAATATTTCTCGAAGGGGGGCGTTGTAGCGACAAGCTACAAATGGTTATATACATTTTCGCAAATGGTTATATACATAAGAAATAGAAATTAAATAAAAATTGAAATGTGTTTTTCAATATCTTTTTACTACAGATATTAGATATGCTGGACACTTTAATTATACATTTTAAGTACGTTGCATTTTTTCATTTATGGGAAACGAAATATAATACTGTAAGCAATGACATCGCAAGAGACCAGCCCGATAATAAAAGTTTATCTTCTGGCTTTTAAAAACAAAGAACGTGTGTTATGTGTTAAGTTTAGCTTTAGTAGATAGATAGGTAGATAATATATATATATTATTAACAGTTTTTTCAACGTTGTATTCAATTTTATTATTTTTATTTTGTTTCCGTGGAAGTTTATCACACACGCATCCACACAACCACGGAACAATATTATTAATCTTAGCTCTAGGTTTAATTGTACTAACCGCGGAAATCTTTCAGAATATGTATATATACATATACATTTTTGAAATCAGTTTATCTAGCTGATATTTGATATCAAAAAGAAAAGAAAAAACTTTGTGGCTAATATTGGAAAATGTTGAAAGAGGATTTCTTTCAAAACTTGCCAGTAGCAGTGTCAATTTGAGTCCCAGAGTCAGACGGTTACACATTTCTTATAGAAACTTTGCTGCTCGTTCTTCTCTATGACGACCGGTTTATGCGGAAAAGTGATTTTTTGCACATACATATTTTATTATGGACAACAGATTTGTTTGGCACTACCCACACTTCGTTAACATTCAGTTAACCTGAAGACGTTAGCGCAGATTCTGCATTGACAAATATAAAAAATACACCAAGCCCATAAAATCTATGTAAGTACTAGTATTTGCATGAAATTTATTATTAGCATAATATAAAACTCTCCGTAATAATGTGATAAAACAATTTCAAGAGAAAATTATCCCTTCGTTGGGGTTATTGCACGGGACACTTTCTATATAATTAGGATCATTTGATATGGCAAGTTGAAACTAAAGTAACATCGAAAATTATAGCAAGTGTGTACCTAATACTTAATAGTAATTACATCTTCTAAAGTAAATAAGACACATTGATGATAGGGACAGCGACTCTAAAAACGGTAATGCACAAGCAAAATGTAGATTTTAAGTTTTGGGAAATATAATTGGTCTTTCCGTTCCAAAGAAGACGTTAATTTGAATGTTTGAGTAAATTTTAAAAATATTCTCGTGAGAAAATTTGTTTCCTTAATAATGTTTTTTAAATTCAACGATCAAGAAAGAACGCCAGATAAGATGGAAAGTACGAATCATATCAGAAGACATTCGTATCAATATTTGTGAACAATATATGCCAGACCAATCAAAAATTCCTATCAGTTGCAAATTGATCATAGATAAACAAATAGAACATAAAATAAAGTTTATGTCTAAAACATAAGTAAAAAATCTACTGTATTTGTATATATTATAAGGAGCACGTTTCGGCATATTGTCGCCGTTTTGGAACTATAAACGTTAAGAGAGGGGGGGTTTCTTTTATTTTTAATATTTTTAATATATTTTTAAGTTTTTTTTTTGAAAAATTGTTTAATATGAATTTATTAATAACATCAGTACATTGGAATACATCATTTCTGAAGTATTACTTGAAATTTTGGTACAAAAATATTAAAAATTGAGCAAATGACAGGTGAAAACCAACTCAAAAAAATTACTCCGAGCAATGTTCGTTTAACAAGAGTTTATTTTTTATTTTTTTTTTTATATTTTTTTATACTGACACAGTATGGTCTATACCAGGCCCATATAGTGAAGTGAGTCCTGTAAAATGTCTATAGCATCTTTTTACTCCTACCTTCGACAAACATTATCTTTTTGTGTTGCATTACAGCCTTTTTATCCGTTTAAGTAACTCGATTGTTGAACAGTACTGTTACTGCTACCCTTCAATGTCTACAGTGAAGCAATATTTAAAGAAGCGCTCTCAGATTCAATAGAAGGTATATCTATCAATAAAGAAGTTTTGAATAACTTGTGTTTTGAAGACGATAGTAATAATGACGGATAATAACAATGATTTGCAAAACGTAATGCAACGACTGAATGAATGCTGTTACGAACACGAGCTAAAGATAAATTTCATAAAAAATA